AAAAGGATAGATTTTAAAAAATTATTTACACTATCATTCATTTTTATAATTGTTCATATACATTGGTTTATTTATGTACATTTTATTTTATTCAATCTTTTCTGCACAAATCATAATTAATTACTATTGATCTGTTACCTTTGCCTCTCATCTCAAGTTCCCCTACATTTTACTTATGTCTTCAAATCCGATGCTTTTACTAATCTCTGTTGTCCTAGTGATTTACAATTCTTTCTTCCACATAACTTCTCCTTTTCCTTTTCAGCAGTTCTCGCTCTCTCTCTGTAATGTGTGTGTGTGTGTGTGTGTGTGTGTGTGTGTGTTGTTCCTACTTGCTAAGTGTTGTTGAGTCAAAACCAACCAGTAGCTTACCCTCCAGCAGGTTTTCAGAGGCAGGTAAGCACACGAGGAGAAGATTGTTTATCTTTCTCCCATGGAGCAGCTGTTGGATTGACTTCAACAGTGTAGAAAGAATAATTGTAGAAGTTGAATTTCAGCTGTAAAAACTAGACTAGGTGTTGGTTGTGGAATAGACCATTGACTACTTATATGTAGGTTCAAACTGATGCTAACAAAAATTAAATCCATGAGAACCCAAATTTAACCTTGAATTGATGCTACTGGAATTTAAAGAAAAATTTTTTAAAAACCCAAACCATCTCAGGAACAGGTTTCAGGCCTTGAACACTAATGAGTGAAGACCAGATGAGTGAACTGTGGTAGAATATCAAGGAAATTATCCATGAAAAAGGTCATTACAAAGACAAAGGAAAAATGAAAGACCGAGATGGATGTCAGAAAAGACTCTGAATATTGCCCCAGAGCTTCGAGTAGTCGAAGAAAAGTGGAGAAAATTGGAAAGTTAATGAGCTGAACAGAAGATTTCAAAAGGCAGCTCAAAAAGAGAAAGCAAAGTATTATAATGAAGTGTTAAAAAAAGCTGGAGTCAGAAAATCAAAAGGGATGAACTCGCTTGGCATTTCTTAAACTGAAGGAACAAAAGAACAAATTTATGCCTTGAGTTGCAACACTTAAGGATGCTATGGGCTGGATAGTGAATGACCTAGGAAGCGTTAAAAGAAGATGGAAGGAGTATACAGAGTTACTGTATGAAAAAGAACTGGCTGACACAGAAGAATTTCATGAAACAACTTACATCCAAGAAACAATTGTGATGAAGAAGGAAGTTGAAGCTGCTCTGAAGGAATTGGCAAAAAACAAAGTCCTAGGAATTGATGGAATACCAATTGACATTTTCCAACAAACAGATACCACCCTGGACATGCCCACTAGGATGTGCCAAAAGATCTAGAGGACAACTACCTGGCCAACTAATTAGAAGAGATCCATATTTATTCTTATTCCAAAAGGAAAAAAGTGGTCTGATAGAATGTGGAAATTATTGAATGATATCACTAATATCGCATGCAAGCAAAATCCTGCTGAAGATCATAATAACAGCTTTATTCACCATCGCAAGAACACGGAAACAGCCCAGATGTCCAACTACAAATGAATAGATTGAGAAATTATGGTACATTCACACAATGGAATACTATGCAACACACAGGAGCAAAAACTTTGTAAATTATTACCTAACTTAGGAGGCACTAGAGAGTATTATACTGAGTGAACTTACTCAGTCCCATAAGGATAAATATTGCATAAAACATTATTGTAGAATGAGTATAAGGATCCAGGAAGGATGGGAGAGGTTGGATGTGCAGGTGGAAAGGGAGATTAATCATTAGGTTGTACAATTTGATGGGGGGGGGAGTGAAGGAAATTGAAAGAATTTGTTCAAATTTGTAAATAAACTAGTAGGAAAAATGAATATGAACGAAACATGCTGTAAAGGTATTACTATATGAAAAGAAATTAAAAATATTAAAAAAGTAAAACCCAAAAAAACAAATGAATAAAACAGTACCTCAACAGAGACATGCCAGAAATACAAGTTGGGTTTAGAAGAGCCCATGACATGAGGGAAATTATTGCCAATGTCGGATAAATCCTGGCTGAGAGCAGAGAGTACAGAAGGAACACTTGTCTGTGTTTCATTGACTATGCAAAGACACTTCACTGTGTGGGTCACAACAAATTGTGGCTAACCTTGAGAAGAATGGGAATCTCAGAACACCTGATTCTGCTCATGTCACCTATACTTAGACCAAGATGCAGTCATCAGAACAGAGCAAGGATGCACTGCATAGCTCAAGATCAGGAAAGGAGTACTTCAGGGATGTGTCCTGGCTCCATACCTTTTAAATCATACAGATAATTTGGGAGGCTGGACTTTATTAGAAGGAATGTGGCATTAGAATTGGTGAAAGACTCATCAATAACCTGCATAATGAACATGACACAACCTTGGTTGCTGAAACTGAGGAAAGCATGAAACATTTGCTGTAGAGGGTCAAGGACTGTAGTCTAAAATATGGAATGAAGCTCATTGTCAAGAAAACACAGATTCTCATCACTCGGCCAATCAGCAGGACCATGATGGATGGAGGAGAGATTAAGATTGTTAACAATTTCAAGTTTTTGGCTGCACAATCACCACTCTTGGCATAAGCAGTAGAGAAATGAAAAGGTGCACTGGAAAAATATGCTGTCAGGCCTATCTCCAGAGTGCTACAGAACAATGATAATGATGCCAGTCTTGAGACTAAGATGTGCCTGAATCAGGCCATGGTCTTCATAGTTACTTGTGCACCGTAGAGCTGGACAATGACCAACAATGACAGAAGAATTAATGCCTTTGAGTTGTGATGCTGGAGAAAAATAGTGAACATACTATGCAGAGAGTAAAACCAAGCTAATCCTTACTTGGAGGCAAGGATTTTGAGAATACATCTTACATACTTTGGACATATTTCCAGGGGATACCAGTCCTTGGAGAAGGACATCATGCTTGGAAGGGTGGAGGCACAGAGGAGAGGAAGACCCTGGATGAGATGGATTGACACAGTAACTAGGATGAGGGTAGGTGTGTCAGAGACAGTGAGATTGGCTTAAGATAGAGCAGGATTTAGAGCTATAGTTGCTATGAGTCATACTGAACTTGATGGCATGTAACATTTGCTGGTTGCAATAGCCATATTGTGTTTACCTCAGTTCTTCCTTTGGTTGATCCTCTCTTGGTCCTTGTAGTATTATTTGTCTACCTATTATATTTCTGTTCTTTTCCCCCGCATTCCACCCTTCAGTTACCCTCATATTATCACAATAATGGTCTTACACAGGATCTGTCCTTTCATGACTGAGTTATTTCATTCAACCTAATGCTCTCTAGACTTTCCCGTGCTGTATGTACTTTACAAATTTTTATTGTTCTTTAATGCTGCTGTTAGAGACAATAAGATTGGCCTGGAATAGAGCAGAGTTTAGGGCTAGTGTGCATAGGGCCACTATGAGTCTCAGACACATAACAATTATTTGATTGCATGAATATATCACAGATTTTTATCCATTCATTTATTGATGAGCATTTGAGTTGTTTCCATTTTTTCCCAATTGTGAATAATACTACTATGGATGTATGTATATGTAACCTTTTTTGTGTCTAAGCTCAAATTTCCTTGAGATATCTCCCAGCAGTGGAATGGCTGAGTCATATGGAATTTCTATGTTCAGTTTTTAAGGAAATGCCAAACTGACTTCCATAGTGGCTGTATCATTTTGTAGTCCCACCAGCAGTGCATGAGAGTTCCAACCTCTCCATTACTTCAGCAGCACTATTGCTTGCTGTCCTGCTAAACTTCGCTACTGTTACTGGGGTTAGATGGTTTCTCATTGTGGTTTTGATCTTCAGCTCACTGATTGCCAGTGATTTTGAACATCTCTTTATGTGTCTGTTAGTCACCTGGATATCCTCCTTTGTGAAGAGACGTTTCATGTCTTTCCCCCCATTTTAAAATAGATTTGTCTTTTTCTTGAGTAGGTACTACTGTAATGTTCTGTAAAACTTGGTTATAAAACATTGGCCTTGCTTATGCTGTAGAACAAGTAGATAATTGCCCAGATGACTCTCGTGGAATTGATCTGATTTGTGCCCAAAGTGGCATGGTAACTTAGAAGAAACTTTTTCTAGTAGTATAACTGAAGTAAAATTTGTATGATATAATATTAGCAAATGCTGTAAGTTGCTAAGTTGCTATTTTTTCATTGACATAAATTTTACCTTCTGATGCTTATTTTTAAATCTTACTGTTTTTATTTAGAAGAAAACATAGAATCCCCCGAAAAAGAATGATGCTTGAGCTTGGAAAATTTTGGCTTGTCCAGTAGAGGGAGTTTTCTTTATTTTTCTTTCTCTTTTTTTTTTTTAAAGAGGGAGTTTTCTAAAGGAAATGACTCATGCACTTGTAGAGACAAATTCCAGGTTTGTCACATGTAGGGTTGGAGTGTAACAAATCCCAGGCAAGTCCAGCTGGCTGGGAGCTGAAGAACCAAAGAGATTTTTGAGCCTGATGCCCGATTCAGATCAAGCAGAGAGCTTGCCACTTTAGTCCAGATTCCCTACATATTTTATACTGACCCTACCTCTGGTAGAAACTTCCTTCTCAATCACCTACCACTGCAGTTCACAGGAGGGGAGTAGAAACACTACATCAGTCCTCATCGAAGGTATGATGATGGCTCAGGTGTCAAAACAGAGCAATCATGGGAGCCATCAAGTTGATGCACAACCTTAACCATCTCACAGCCACACACAAAATGTGTTAGATGCTTACAAATAATTTCTAAGCAAATATCTTCACTATTGAGTGAATTAACAAATACATACATTAAAACATATTATTCTATTTCACTGATCAATAGATTGTTTTTTTTTTACCAGGGCAAGAATTTCATCATGTTCCCTATGACAGCTTCAGTACTTACAGAAATGCTAGCATGAAACAAGAAAGTAATATTTACTGAGTGAATAAATAAAATGGACGTCATGCTTATTATTTTTAATTAAAATGATTCTTGTTTATTTTTTTCTTTGATAGATGGGAATATTGATGGATATTTTGCTATTAATGAGACATCAGGAAGACTTTCAACCACACGTAGTTTGGACCGGGAGCACATCGAGGCCTTTACCCTTGTCATCCTGTGCTCTGATCTGGGAGATCCAGCTCGGAACTCGGTGATGCAGCTGCAAGTTAGGGTGTTGGATGATAATGATCACAGCCCTGCCTTCCCCACACTTCATTACCAGACCTCCATAAGGGAAGATACTGAAACTGGAACAGTGGTCCTCCAGCTCACTGCAGTGGATGAAGATGAAGGCCTGAATGGGCAAATTCAGTATTTTCTGATTGATGAGACTGCTGGTACATTCACCATTGATCCTGTGGCTGGCACAGTGAGAACTGCCCACACCCTTGACCGAGAAGCCAGATCCCAGCATATATTCAAGGTAGTGGCCAGGGACTGTAGCCTGCAGGGCTCAAGAAGCACCACAGTAATCATAAGCGTGCATGTCACCGATGCCAATGACAATGATCCAGTTTTGGAGCAGAACCCCTTTGAGATTTTCCTTTCCCCTGAGTTGCCTGAAAACTTGACTATTGCCACTCTGATGGCCCATGACCCAGACCTGGGACCCAACGGAACTGTTGTTTTTAGTTTTTCAGAAACACAGTCAATATTTTCTATTGATAAACATACAGGAGAAATTAAACTTCAGCAAAATCCACCTTCAGAATATTTTCCTATATGGCTGCAGCTGAATGTTGTGGATCAAGGTATCCCAGCCAAGACAACCACTGGTCTCTTGGTTGTTCATATGGAAGAAGAAGATGTCAAGCTTTCCTTCACCCACAGCCTGTATAGAGGGATTGTGCCTGAAAACTGTGAGGCAGGTAAGTGTCCTGTCAAGTTAATATACATGGTACATGTTTTGCCAAATGCATGAAACTAAGGATTATATGAGAGTCCTATTTTGAATTTACTTAAATTTTGAGTCCAGCCTGTCTATGGTGTATCAGTTTCATGTGATAGCCAAGTGTTGGTGATATGATGGTAAGCATAACTGCCTTCCAGTTTTCATCCAAAGAATTAACTTAGAAAAACATAATCAAATGGAGTAGAAGAACATCTCCCTTTAAAAAAACAAAAGAAATAATAGAAAAATTGAAAGGTTTTGTCTTACATGGATCTTCAAGTTGTAGTTATCTACATTTATAGTCTCAAAAGATAGCTTTAAAATTTGAATCTTTAAATATTATACATTCCTTAGAATAATTTAATAATGAAACATGAGTATTAAGGTCATGGTTAAGTGTTTGGGCTCTGCCTGGGTTTAAATCCAGGCTGCTTTTACATGCTCATGGGCATTTGAACTTCTCTAAATCTCTGTTTCCTTGTCTGAAAAGTAGGTACAATAACCCTATCAATGTTATAGATCTTAATTAAATGGGCTAGTTTCCTTGGGCTAAAGATGGGCAGTTTCCTCTAATATGATTTATAATCTTACAGAACCTGCTGGAGGGTTAGCATGAATTGGTTCTGGCTTGATGGCAGTAAGTTTGATATGTTGGGGGTTTTGTTGGTTTTGTTCTTAGTTTATATATGAAGAAGTTCCAGTGGTGACGTCCATAGTATCTTGTGCTGCTAAGCAAAGGGTCTTTGCTGCAAACCCAGCAGCTGCTCCAAGGAGAAAGATGGCCTTTCTGTTAAAATGTAGACCTAAGAAACATAGTGGGGTTGCTATGATTTGGAATTGATTAGGCATTAAAGATATTTCATTTTGGTTTAATTTGTATAAAATACACAGAACAAACACTTCATGATACATAGTAAGCAAGTGGCAGCTGGAATCTACCAGCTCTGTGGGAAAAGGATGGGCACTTTCCTCCCATGGGGGTTACCATGCTTCTGGTAACCTACTGGAGGGTCAACTCTGTGTGACCTGATGGCACACAACAACAAAATTATCATTACTACTATCTTTCCAGAGACATTGTTTTGAGAGTCAGTAGAGGCTTTCAAATCAGTGAACTAAAGTGTATCCTTTAAAGAATGTGATAGAGTTATGAGTATACAGTTCAAAACAGGCTACTGTGAATTTTGACCATATTTCCTCAAAATGAAACAGTGTTTTAAATTATGGTGGCCTAGTGGCTTTGTCTCCAGGGAACAACAACAACAACAACAGTGGCAAGAAGATAGACTGCAACCCCAAAGGCATGAGGTTCGAATCCACCAGCTGCTCTGTGGGAGAAGGATGGGTCATCTCCTCCCATGAGATTGACTGCTCTTGAAAACTCACTGTAGGGTCAGCTGCGGGTCAGTTCTGACTCAATAGTACACAACAACAACAACAACAACAACAGCAACTTCAATTATGCCATAATATTGTTATTGTTGTTGTTGCTAAGTGCCATCAAGTCAAAACCAACTTATAACTAACTCTCCAGTAGATTTTCATAGGCAGTAAATCACAGGGGAGTTGATTGTCCATCTTTCTTCTGCAGAGCAGCTGGTGGATTCAAACTGTGCACTTTTGGGTTGGCATTATTACTTCTTACCACTAAGATACCAAATCTCTCCAAGCCATAATAGGAAGCATGAAAAAAAGAATTTAAACAATTTTCTTCAACTAGGAAATTTCTTTGCAAATTTCTGGTGATGGAATTTGATGTAGGTAACACTCTTAGCAACAGAAGCCAGGAAATCAGGAAACGAATTGCATTGGGAAATTCAGCTGTGAGGGACCTCTCAAGAGTACTGAAGAGCAACAACGTCAGACTGGAGACTAAGGGACGCCTGATCCGGGCTATAGTCTTCGCAATTACGTGCTATGCATCAGAGAGTTGGACAGTGAATAGGGCTGATAGAAAGAAAATTGATGCCCTTGAGTTGTGGTGCTGGAGAAGAGTGTTGACTATACCATGGACTGCTAGGAGAACAAACAGGTTTGTCCTGGAGAGGGTGAAGCCTGAATGTTCCCTGGAGTCAAGGATTCTGAAGCTTCATCTGACATACTGTGGGCATGTTCAAAGGAGGGACTGGTCCTTGGAGAGGGACCCCATGTTTGGGAGAGTGGAGGGATGGCGCAGGAGAGGAAGACCCTCGATGAGATGGATTGGTTCTGAGTGGAGTGGTGAAAATGAATGTATTTGAGACGGTGAGGTTGGCACAGGATAGAACGGCATTTAGGGCTCTTGTACATAGGGTCACTATGAGTTGCAAATGACTCGATGGCACATAACAACAACAACAACAATTACATCTAAGTAGAGAGTAGGAGGAAACTTTGAGTAGTGAAAATGATTAAGTGCTCTGTCCTTAGAGAATATCATATTTGGTAGGGTAACGGGTCAACACAGAACAGGAAGACACCAGATTAGATGGATTTACATAGTGTTTGTGGTAATGCATCAGATGTGTCAGAAACAGTAAGTTTGGCTTAAGATAGGGCAGGGTTCAGAATTATTGTTAATAGAGTAATTTTGGGTTGTAATCAACAACAGCCACTCAGAGATGGGCATGATGATCTGTTTCCAAAAGATCATAGAGTGAAGCCTCTAAGTCGCCCAGTTCTGCTCTGACTCATGTAGGCTCTCTCTCTCAGTTCACTCCATAGCAACCTATAAGAGCAGGGAATGGCAAAGCCTGGATCCACTGGAGAGTAACTGGCTTTTAGTGGTAGTGGGTGTTGTTGTTATGTGCCATCGAGTCGTTTGCGACTCATAGCGACCCTATGTACAAGAGCTCTAAATGCCGTTCTATCCTGTGCCAACCTAACCATCTCAAACACACTTATTCCCACCGCTCCAGTCACAGAATCGATCCATCTCATAGAAGGTTTTCCTCTCCTTCGCCTCCCCTCCACTCTGCCAAACATGATGTCCCTCTCCAAGGACCAGTTCCTCCTTGTAACGTGCAAAAAGTATGTCAGACGTTGCTTCAGAATCTTTGACTCCAAGGAGTATTCTGGCTTCACCTTCTCCAGGGAAAACCTCTTTCAATTCTCTTTCTATCAACCCTATTCACTGTCCAACTCTCTGATGCATAGCACGTAATTGTGAAGACTATAGCCCGAATCAGGTGTACCTTAGTCTCCAGCCTGACGTCGTTGCTCTTCAATACACTTGAGAGGTCCCTCACAGCCGGCTTTCCCAATGCAATTCGTCTCTTGATTTCCTGGCTGCTGTTACCAAGAGTGTTGATTGTGGAATAAAGCAAACTAAAACTGTTAACTATCTCAATCTTCTCACCATCTATACTGATGCTGCCAATTGGCCCAGTAGTAAGAATCTTTGTTGTTTTTTTTGATGTTGAGCTTCAATCCATATAGGAGGCTGTAGTCCTTGACCTTCTGCAGCAAGCGCTTCAGGTCCTCCTCAGTTCCAGCAAGCAGGCTTGTGTTATCTGCATAATGCAGGTTGTTGATGACTCTTCCACCAATCCTGATGCCACATTCCTCTTCGTACAGCCCAGCGTCTCAGATGATCTGTTTTGCATACAGATTGAAAACGTATGGAAAGAGAATACATCCCTGATGGTCCGCCTTCTTGATTTTGAACCATGTAGTGTCTCATTGCTCTGTTCTGACGACTGCCTCTTGGTCCAAGTATAGGTTTCGCATTATCACAATCAAATGTTCTGCGATTCCCATTCTTCTCAGAGTCAGCCACAACTTGTTGTGATCCACACAATCAAAAACCTTTGCATAGTCAATGAAGCACAGATGGACATTCTTCTGGTATTCTTTGCTTTCTGCCAAGATCCATCTACCATTAGCTATAATATCCCTAGGAACACGACGTCTTCTAAATCCAGCCTGCACATCTGGCAGTTCTCTGTTGACATATTCTTCCAAATGTTTTTGGATAATTTTCAGCAGAATCTTTCTTGCATGTGATATTAATGATATTGTTCGATAATTTCCGCACTGAGTAGTGGGTAGAGAGATGAATATCCTCATTTTTTCAAGCAGCTGTGGGGCAAAGGCAAGTGGCTACAACATTCAGAATAGGAAGTGTTTGGTGACTGAAAATCTGGTATGTGCTGTTTTCTTGTTCCTGTTTTGTCTATTTTGTCATGTTATAGTAATTCAATTTCATTTGATCTAAAAAGACATAAGCCACTACTTAAACTGAAATCTAATTTTTAAACATCATTATTTATTCATGTCTTGTTTTTGTTGTTGTTTGGTACCATCGAGTCATAGACGACTCATAGTGACCCTATGAACGAACAGCCTGAGCACTGTTCGTACATAGAGTTTCTGGAGGCAAGCCATTTTGGAAGTGGATGCCGCTCCTGCTTCCAGGCTTGAGTTAGTCAGGAAGCTCCAGCCAACACTGTCCACCATACATGCCCATTACCACGATTGGCACATCACTGTCCCAGTGTTCAGCATCACAGCAACCACGAGTTACCTCTGTACAGCAATGCACAGACCAGTGCTATACCACCTAGAAGAATGTTTGACAGGAAAACCATTTGTCTTAGCCTGAATATTTTAAATTACTAATAACATACTATATTTTCTGTGCAAATAATTTTAATATTAAGGGTGTTTTCAGCTACATGTGATTAATCTGGATTTGAGTTCTATTTGAGTTTTAGATGCCTCTTATTTTTTAGAAATAGAATTAAGAGACATTTCAATTGTTTTCACTAGCTTTGGTGGCCTAGTGGGTAAAGAGTTTCTCTGCCAAGCCAAAGACAGGCAGTTCTCATTCTCCAGCTGGTCGATGGACAAAAGATGGGCAGGCTTCTTGTGCAATTTACAGCCTCTGGAAACTCTCTGGACGAACAGCTAGAAGTTAATTTTAACTCAAAAGTACATGACGAGAACAAAAAATAAAATAACAGTGACTTCCAAAGTAAATCAAAAGCTTTCCACTTT